TATGAATCAAAAGAGACTGTGAACACTGGTTTTGAATCTTTAAATAGCTTTAGCTATTCTAATTTTCTTTTGCCTTAGTAAAACACTTCTGAAAATCCAGCGAAGTAATAGTTTCTTTTTTCTATAAAGTACTACTTTTTTATAGATGTCTCTGCTTTATATACCACTGATTTTTTCTCAGAAGGATGAGACCAACACATTCACTATAATATTCTGCTTCCCAGAAAAGAATAGCTGTGGCCAAAATACTTTTTCTTGTTTTAAGGGAAAAGTAGTTCTAATCACAAAAGCAGCATTTATCATTATGTCTGACAAATGTATGACTGCCCAGGACTATGTCCCATTACGACATGCCAATAGAAAAAAATGATCTGGTAACAATGAACAATGATCCTTCCAGTCCAAAATCTTATAATTTAACCTCGCTTGTTCATCTGACTAGATTAATCTAAAAAGAGCATTTATGCCAACTTGTACATAATGCTAATGTATAAATCACTGGACTTAAACCAGATCAAGAAATGTTTACTCATACCATCCGTGACCTAAGAAAATGATTTAGCTGTTCTGTGCCTTGGTACCCAGCTGTAACTGAGGATATTATGTCCTATTTTTGGTCTCTGTTGTCTCTTCAGACCACCATCAGGCAGGTATGTTTGTATGTTTGTATAGCACCAAGAACTAAGAGGGGTTGCTCTCAGAGTTAATCCAATGAATGGAAAATAAAAGTGCAAGAAATTCAAGCTGTTACTACATTTTGCATTTTCTAATTAAACTAACTATATTTTGGGAGTGGAAAGGACCACATCTTTTTCTCCATCTTAAAAATACGAAAGTGTTGACTAAAGCTATTTTGTTCCCCTCTCTTGAAAAAAAGTCAGTTCATTCTATCCCAAAGACCTGTAATGTAAGTACTGTTATTAATGTAAGTAATTTGCATAGCAGCTATTGTGAAACAGGCAGTCCTTTCCAGTCCATCTCAGTGAAACTGTTGTCAGCTCATGGATTCACTTGCAATGAAAGGATTTTTTGTGAGGTCAAGGTAGAGATGCACACCAGGATGTGCACCTTCTGCAGACAGGTACCTCTACCATAGTCATTGCACTGCCAGTTTTGAATGCTTCAGGGAGTTTTCTCTCCTTTAAGGTGCAGTTTTGTGGAACTGATAACAAAACATTCTTCCACAATAATTTTGTACTGCTAGCTTGTTGGGGGGAGGGAGAAGGAAAAACCCATTTGTGCATTTCAGATGGAGCAAATGCCTGTTTGTTCATTTGTCTGCAGAATTATTAGTGTTGTTGAGTCTCACCTTCATTCCAGTGGCCCCTTAGGGTGCAGCAAACCATGCAGGTTATAGTGCACACTAGGCACATGTCAGGTACAGTATTCTGCAGGTTAAGCAATTTGCTGTTCCCACTGTCTGAAGGGAAGCTGACTGGGTGGTTTTGGAAACTGCTTTCCCTACTGTTCTTCTGCATGGAGATGGGCAACTCTGATTCCCACCCTGTGCCCTTCATCATACCTTTCCCTCTTGGGCTGCAAGAATGTGGCAAGCAAGGTGCTCAGGTGCCATCCTGCTCCACAAGTGCTTCCCAGTGCTAGATCTCCCAGCTGAAGAGGAGGCTCAGCCATACAAGGTGGCTTTCACTCACGGGTGCTCCTCCCTCCTGGCTGCCAGGGCAGGCAGAAGTCCACCTGCCCCTCCTTTGCACTAGATTGCTAAAGATGAGGGAACCTGGGAGGGTGGGTGGCTTTGTCTTGGCAAAGACCAGATCCCCGCAGACAGTCTGACCTGACTGGTGGGTCTTAATCTTCAGAAAGGCAACTTTCATATTTTCCAATTTCCATTTTCTTGGACAAGTTATCACCAGCTGTCACGGCCAGTAGACATGGGCAATTCAGCCCTCTTTTCCTAGAAAATATGGTCATTCTCTTGCATACCTTACCACCACAGCGTGGTGAAACAGAAGTCTCTACCAGCTCTCAAGTTGCCCCTCAGTATTCCTACAACTGAGACTAGAAGTGAAGATGGGACAACTCCTTTTTCCTGGGGGTAAAGAGCAAAAAGAAATGACTGGTAAGTCCAACCACCAAAAGGAAAGGAATAGTGACTGCAAAGTACAGCAAATGCCCAAAAGTGGCGGCTGTCAACCAAGTCCTAGGTCTCTACAGCAGTGGTTCTTATGAAAGGTGAAACATCCTGGGACCTTTTGGGATTTTCCTGTGAAGAGCCTGAAAGTTGCACAGAAGGGAAGCAGACTGACTTTTTTGTCTGTGCCTTCATGCGTTGAGGAGGACGGAAAATCAGAATGGGAGAGATTTCAGGCTTGGAGAGACACTTGTGGAGCCTGAATGGACTGATATCTTATTGGACTGACTGTTATTCCCCAGTTCATCATTGGTTTTATATTAAGTTTAATGTACCCCAATGTTATTCCCCTCAGTCCCTCAGATTTTCCCACCAAAAGTTGTTTACTCCCCTGTTCTTCCCCGCTTTCCCGCTCCTCTGTCGCTGACTGGCTGAGAGTTGCCGCAGTGCAGAGTGAGCCCCCATTGGTCCCTTCCCTTGGATACCCATAAGTCACACCCACCCTTCCCCTGTCTCCCAGTCCTGTCTCACCCTTGGTTGTCAATCCCATGCTCCACCCCAGTTATGAATCCTCCCCTCACCCTTACCCTATATAAGTCCCTGTGTTCTCTTAATAAACTGGCATTGCACCCAGACTTTCAGCTGCATCTGAACCCTTTTGTGTGGTGCCGCGTCCCTTTCCCTTTTTCCCTCGGGCTGTGGCAGTGCGTTACTTAAAGAGTCAATTCAGAGTGAGAAACTGTGCTCTGAGCTGTGCAATGCTTATGTCTATGATGGATGCTCTTCTTCCACTGCAAGGAGTAAAGAAGAAGAGGAGGGAAACATGAACGTGCAAGATGTAGGGAGCCAGATATCCTCACAAAACAGATGGTAGTATTGTTATGCATTAGTTTCCTTGTCTCCCAGTTTCCCAGCAGTAAAAGAAAAAAAAAATTATAATGTTTCATTAATACACTCATTTTTAAATACAGGTAGAGTTGAGAGAACTGCTCCCTTTCCTGGATTAAACTGATCAGCTTCAGTTTTGTGTGAGGCCATCTTGGGTCCTTAGTTTATTTGGCACTTCTGTTGCCATTGTTTGCTTGACTCAGCTTTTATCTTTTTTTGAGAATTGGGGTAGAAATGTTTGGTTATGCAATTTACCTGAACTTGGAGTCAAAGAAGGTCAATCATTCTAGTAGATAGCGCTGAGGGTTTCAAGTACACTTGGAAAACAAGGAAAGTCATTATGAGACCGTAACTGTTCTGTACAGGAGAGCAAAACACTGTGTCATGAATTCATAATTATTACATTAATGGACTACACTTAAATCAATATATCTATCCAGAGGGAGCTGAAAGTACCATTTGACCCAGCACTCACATTTCCCCAGGAATACAAAACACTGTAAAATGCCCTCACATTCTGTGCACTGAGGATGACGTGTGGAGCCCTTGGAGAAAAGTAAAGGGTACAGAGACAAGAGGATGATAAGCACTGCAGCCTGCCTGAATCCTGGGCTGCCAGACTCCAGCCCCCATCACAGATACAGTATAGAATTAACCCCTCACCCAAACAGCCACAGCCTCCAAGCAGTTTAATGAGGCTCTTACTCATCATTCTCAAGCATAAAGGCCAGGAAAACTATACACAGCAGTCATAAATCAGCAGCATCTCATTATGGTTTCAAGTTGCAATGAAAAGCAGAATTGTTTGCCTTTACATTTCAGGTTATTCTTTCAATAAACTCAGCTTCAGGCCATCAACACTGACAATTATACTTTGGAAAAAGTATAATGGAAAAACAGTTGGACAGTTTTTGGAGGAAAACTATATAGTTTCTTGTCTTCCAGTACAGCCATGCAGCATTTAAAAGTAGAATGACAGATTACTCTTAATAAATTAAATTTGTCCATAAAGCTACTAGGCATTTAAATTGTTCTGCCCATTTCAAAGTACACCTGTAGGGTTGAAGTAATTTTCTATTCCACTGGTGAAGTTAGAGGTTCATCATGTCCAACATGAGGAGATATTTCCTCTCATCTCTCTAAATGCACAGGTCATCAATTTCATCATGTTTTGGGGAGTGCAGGGTGGGCAAATAGGAGGAGGGAGACAAATACATCATTTAGGACATGAGACAAATATTTAACAGCTTAAAGAGTCAGGAAAACCCAGTATTCTGTAACCCTGCTGCCTTGGTTCAGAAAACAAAGGAAGTTATTTTAGACAAAATGTGGCAATAGGAGCTGTTTCTGTGGGCCAAAGTGTGCTCCTTCCAGGGAACAACTGAGACACGTATGCTGCCTAAACATGCTCTGCTATACTTACATGCTGGACATTGAGCTGCCCTGTAAAGAACATACACTTTCACATTTAGTCACTAAAGCAAGTCCTGAGCAAAGCCTTTGTGCAAACAACAGTTAGAGAGCATTGCAAAGTGAAGCCAAGAGCAGAGAGCGCAAACAAACAGAACTTTTGATCATTTGACATGACATTTGATCTGACTAAGCAGTCTGGCCAGCCTGCTGACGGCCTGGGGACAAGTGAAAGCCCTTGTTAAAGAGAATGACACATTTTGTCTGCAGAACTTCAGCATGATCAAGAAATTCCCTTCTTCCTTTCCTATTTTCCTTTTTAATAAATGGATGATCAAAGCCTCCACCCCTTTTCGTGTGCCATGAGAGGGATGCTTGAACATTTGCCAAAAGCCCTTGACTAATGTACACCCAGCTCACCTGAGAGTTAGCTTGCAACTGATGGAGTTTGCTTGCTTCAAAGCAAGGAAATTCTCTTGAGACTGTAAAACCAAAAAATATTAATATTTCATTTCACCAGCTGCCAGGTTTGCCTGTAGTATGGAATTTCATTAGCTCATTTATTGCACAAAGATGGGATAAGGTGAAATACTAGTTATTAAAAAAACCATGAAGAAGGTATCTTAGGGGGGCTACAGTAGTCAGTCACAGGTGATGATGACTCAGTAAGACTGCCGTGTTTTGTAGCCAATGTGTTGTTTCACATTCTTCTCCTTGTCATCTGGGATTTGAATTATCTGGAATTAAAAATAGGACTGCTTTTAACTTAAAAAGAATTAGAATACTAATCTAGTTTATTTTGGATTTTTATTACAGAAAGGCATGAGACCATGATGACACCATTATTCATTTTGCTAGTGAAACATGGGTGGGAAAGGCAGATGCCACCTGCAAAGCTGTGCTGGTTGCAGGCAGCTCAGCACTCAGGTTTTCAGTGCCCCTCTGCTGTGGGTCATTCTTGCCTCCTACCTGCTGGCTAAGACATCCATGTGATGGGAACATACCCCAGCTCAGCTGAGGGCACATCTGCACTAGCTGCTCTGCTGGGTGATTTAGCAACACTCCCATTTGCCCCTGTTTTCCACGCTTTTGGAATGGTTTTAGAGTGCTGAGTTCTATGTGTGTGAAACTTAATTCATCTGGATGAATTTAGAGCTGAGACACACTCCAGAAGTGCAGCTACTGCTCTCCAAATGCCTGTGGGCATTCAGGGCACAAGGTCCAGCTAGGCACACATAGAGACAAAGCCTCCTGACAGTCTTCCGTAAAATTAGGATGATGCCAGTAATATATCAATGCTAGGCGCTTAATGAAATGTTAATACATATGTAAATGTCAGCACCCTGTGTTTTCAGTCCTGCATGCTACAGGTGTGGGTCCCCCAGAGTGCTACTGTCCTCTCCCTTGCCAATGGGCACTCCCCAGCACCCCCAATGCTCTCAGGAATGGTGCTTTGTCTGGCCTGGGCAGAGGTGGTGATGCTGGTTGGGCAGCTTCTAATTGTGTCAAACCCAGCCGTGTCACAATTTTTCATGTGCCTTTCATATATCTCTTTTCTGTGTGACCCCTTCATACCAGAAGTCATGCATGGTTGCTGCTTAATCTGACTGATGGTCATCTCCCATTTCAACACCATCAGCTGGGGCCTGATGGCATCATCCTCTTTCAGATGATCGATGTGGACAAATGCCTTTGAGGCAGTACTGTGTATTTGTTGTACATACACACTGCACACACTCACATTTGTATCCTAATGTGTGGTGTTTTCCAGACCATTGCTGAGCATCCCCCAAGGAGCTCAGGCAGTAGGCACAAGGCACGATACACAGGTGAACCAAAAACATCGGAACACTGTAAAAGGAAATGTTCAGGTATAACCCTGCAACAAGAGAAATATAAAGCAATGCACCTTTGAAGACAAACTGCTCACTATTTTGCAGCCATCTTGAGGGCTAGAAAATAAAATATATTGCACTGTGGGACGCTGCAGTTCTGCTGTAGGATTTCCTCTTCTCCTTTCTATTCCGAAACCTGGAAAGACAAATTAAAGTAATCAAAGCATTTCACTGGGAAAAGGAAAAGCAATGGAAATTAAACCTGGAGGGCCACCTTCTGAACACCACATTAACTGTAGTAGGTCTTCCAGTTATTCAGCTCCCTGTCTGCAAAAGGGCTACCCCCAAGCCACAACAGCCAGCAGAAAGGTCCCAGCCTTCCTACCATTGAGTTCAGGGCACTGACTGCAAGAACTGCTGACAATAACCCAGTATTTCCAACAACTTCTCAGCCAGGAAAGCTGGAAAACAGGAGTTCTCCAGTCTACCCCAGGAGCTGGTGCATTTTCAATTAGGCTGAAATCCATTGATGTCCCACCAACGTTTCACCAGAAATATAAGGAAACAGATATTTCCACGAACCACTTCACCTTGGAATTATGTCCCATCCAAAACAAGTACTTCCCAACAAAATTCACTGTTTCTATTCCAATGCAGGTCAGCTCCTAATATGCTTTAGCAATGTGTGTGTCAATCTTGTATCTGAGAGTAAAAGGCAACAGGAACAAAGTCATGATTAATTCCTGTAATCAACTGGACCTGTTTGGTAATTTATTTTTATTTATTATATTAACTGACTCTTATAATATGCATCCTTCCTGGGAGGAAAAAAAACAGATGACAAGTATTTTTAAGGTGTTCGTGAAACACTGTCTGAAAGATAAACCTGTTCTAAACCCAAATTCTACTGTCTCCAACCTACTGCATATCTGGCGTATTTGAGATGTTAACAGCTCCAGAGGTCCCTTGTTTCTGTGTTTTTCAGAGATGTGGGGTAACATGTATCCCTCACGTTTCAGATTTCAAGAATGGCTTTTGCACTATTACCTATGCGATAAGATCAAAGAGAGAAGGGATATCAGAGGTAAGAGTCCCATCTATTGGCCAGAGGAGGAACATGATAACTAAATGCTTTCTGAATCTTGAAAATTTTCTGTCTACTATGAAAAATTACAAGTAAAGAAAAATTACCAGGAAAAATAAATCATCTAAATGCTAATAATGGATATTAGTGAAGGCAGAAAATAAATTCTTCTTTTAGAGAGGAAAGAAAAGGAAAACAACCTATTATTTGGGAGAACTAAAAAGGAAAGAAAATATAATGACAAAGTAGCTAAAATACGCTATGGCATAAGTGCAATAGTTAAGTGGCTTTGCCTACAAATCAGCAGGTGCCAGACCTGAGTTAGAGATTTTTATCCTTCTTTCAAAGGAGTGGCATTTTGCCCTTGAAGTAGTGCTGATCTGTCCCTAGCCTGTCATTTTTTTACAGTTGGCAGCACTGATCACTAGCTGAAGGGCCACCCTCATGTTATTCTCTGCTCTTTCCTTGTACACAAGAGTCCAGTTTCTGTCCTATGAGTGAAAGACTTATTTCAGGTCCAGGTAGGTAAAGGCTGCCTCAGGAAGAAGCTGTTGCAAGAGGAATCAACCACTGTTTAGACTTTTAAACACAACTATGCTTTTGCTCCTGCACTTCCTGTCACGGCCTGCTGGTTTCTGTCCTGCTCTCCCAGTACCCAAACCCCTTCCCACAGGGACAATGAACTGGTGATTAAACATCACCATTACAAAATCTGACCTTGTTGGTGCAAGGATTTATGCCCTCATGATCTATTAAAAAGACATACTTGATAGTAAAAGTACATGAATCTCAAAATGCTTTATTACTATATCCTGTTTCTCTGTTTGTTACTCTAGTGGTGAGTTTCAGCTTTTAGAATGTTTAAATATAGGATGTACATGTCAGCCAGGCATCTAAACTCTCGCTCCAGTCAGTGGACAGCATGTCATGTACAGGTGCCTAATGAAGCTTGGGATCTCATCAGCTACAGGTCCTGCACTGTCCTCCTGCCTGCCCCATGCTGAAGTCTTCAGCAGTTCAGGGCATCTCAAATAGCACTAAACACTGATGCTTGAGGAATGGCAGCAGTCTCTAGCTCACAGACACTTGCAACCAGAGATCTGGAGCTGGGAGTGCCTGGTCCAGAATTTATTCCATCCTAGGTGATCTCTAAGGATTGAACAGCAGCTGGGGGCAGAACTGAGCTGTTCCAGCCCCCGTTCAGCAGATGCTAGAGGTGCAGAGTTTTACTCTGGATATTTTCACTCAAAATCTTGTCTTGGATCAACTCAAATCCAGAATTCCTCTGCTAGCAACCTTAACATGAAATTTAGGTTGCAGTACGTATTCACTGCCAGGAGACAACGCTATCCACAGCCACCTGGGATATCGTCTCCTGAAATGTAGATTTTGCTAGCTGCACACTAAGAGTTGCAGCAAGGGCAGGGTGAAAGGGATACCTGCTTCAGGTAACCTCTGAGGGTTTCAGGGGCTCCAAACAGGTGTTGTGCCTCTGCATCCCTCTGCCAGCAGCTACTTTCATCACTCACAAAGAGGGCCTATGGGACAGTGGGAGAGGGTGGGAGGTTAATGGGAGCCTTACCTGCACTGGGGTAGTGGATGACGATGACCCCAGTGTGTCACTTCATCTTGCTGTATACCACTGGAATTTCATGTTTTAATAACAGCAGTACGGCTGCTCAGCCCTGACAGGGCATGGCCACTGAGAAATCTCACTGAGTTTATGACTAATCCTGCTTCCCCAGTGCACTACTGGTTAGCAGGACCTTTCTCAGTCCCCTAGTGATTCTAATGCTTACATCCCAAAACAAAGGAGAGATATTTTCTTTTTCAATTGAGAGAAGTATTATTGATTCAGCATAGTAATTGCTGTATTCAGTAATTTTTCAACATTATATTTGCAAGGCTAAAAAGTAAAAGTAAAGCAATAAGGAGGAGGGAATCTTTGTTGCCTGTATTTTGATTGTGTGTGCAGTTGGGATCATTTCTCAGGAAACTCTTTCTAGAGGAACAGTCACTTTTAAATAACTCCTAATTGTTTTTCTCAAGTTTCAATTCAGGAAATTTTAGTCAAAGCAGAGACATGGTCTGTTGTATAAACAACAGGTCTAGCACTATCTCATCACTTTTATACTTAGGCGATTTGCTTTCAATAGCTTGTTAAGTGACATAACCAAAATCTGTCAGTCCATATTTTCTGAAGCGTAGGACAGAGACAAATGTTTGTTTTACCTGAAAATGTCTTAATTTGGGAATGTGTAAAATTGCTCTTCTTTAGCAGACCACTGATAGGTTTGGATTTGAGCAACAATTTCCTGGGATTTTTTTTCTTTTTAGTGTGTGTGTTGAAAACCACCACCAGCAACACAGGTGACAGCAACTTCTTAATTCTGAGCCAAACCACATAGTGCCTGGAAACCTGGACTTCTGCAAAGCATTTGATGCTGACCTGCACAGTATCCTTGTCTCTAAAATGTAGATAATTAGATTTGACAGGTGGACCAGGTGGTAGATAAGGAACTGGTGGGAAGTCACACTCATATAGTGGCAGTCAACGGCTCATGATCTGGGTGGAAACCAGTGATGAGTGGTGCCCCTCAGGGGTTGGTACTGGGACCAGTATTATTTAACCTCTTTGTCAGGGATTTAGTAGACACTCAGCAAGTTTGTGGATGACGCCAACCTGAGAGGTATGGTTGATACTCTAGAGGGAGAGGATGCCATCCAGAGGGATCTTGACATGCTTGAGAGGTGGGCTTGGGTGAAGCTCATAAAGTTTAACAAGGCTGAGTGCAAGGCCCTGCACCTTGGTGGTGCAAGGGCATCACCTGTGGGAATAGTCCCCAATATCAATACAAACTGAGGGATTCATTGATTGGGAGCATCTCTGAGGAGAAAGACTTTGGAGTGTTGATTGATGGGAAGCTCAACATGACCTATAAATGTGTGCTGCAGCCAGAAAGCCACAGGTAATCTTGGATGCATCAAAAACACATGGCCAGTAGGTCGAGGCAGGTGATTCTCCCTCTCTACGCTGCTCTCGAAACCCCACCTGGAGTGCTGTGTCCAGTTATGGGGTCCTCAGCACAAGAAGGATGTGGACCTGCTGGAGCAAGTCCAGAGGAGGGTCACAAAGATGATCAGAGGGCTGGAACACCTCTCCTATGAAGACAGGCTGAGAGAGTTGGGGTCATTCAGACTGGAGAAGAAAAGGCTGCAGGTAAACCTTAAAGCAGCCTTTCAGTACTTAAAGGGAGCCTCTGGGAAAGATTGGGAGGAACTCTTCATTGGGGAGTGTAGTGATAGGACAAGAAGTAAGGGTTTTAAACTTGAAGAGGGTTGGTTTAGCTTAGGTATAAGGAAGAAATTCTTTGCTGTGAGGGTGATGAGGGACTGGAACAGGTTGCTCAGAGAAGTTGTAGATGCCCCATCTCTGGAAGTATTCAAGGCCGGCCTGGATGGGGCTTTGATCAATCTGGTCTCATGGAAGTTCTCCCTGCATGGCAGGGGGATTGGAACTAGATGATCTTTAAAATCCTTTGCAGCACAAACAAATTCTGAGTCTATAAAACTGTTTCCTACCACTCACTCCCTCAGGATGGCGTAGGAACTGTGCTTCATGCTCCAGTCAAAAGTTCTTCCTCTGTTTTGGTGTGGCTCTTCAGAAAGTTTTTTGTGTCAGAACACAAGAGCAAATATACTGAATCAATCTAAAGCCAGAACTGGATATCTAGGCAAAAGCACAAGAACGGAACCTAGGGGTCTTCTCCAGTCATTTGCAGCTCATGAGCTTCACAAGTCCCGTAATCTGTGTGCATTTTAGGAAACCCCAGAGAATTTTTCTTCCATTAATTCATCAAATCAACCCTTAACACACACATAAACTCTTAGCATCTGCAACAACCTGTTGCAAGAACTGCACATAAAACTCTACTTCCAGTATGCTTTAAGAATATCTTACCTTTCCTGCAACTTTTGATATTTTAAATAGTTCAAGTGGTTGGATGTCTTGAAAGCAAAGGACCTGTATTCTAGACTATCTTCAATATTCTACTACAAAGCCAGAGTAAAGGAGAGTTACTTATTCTTAAAATTGTTGAGTTTTTTATTTT